ATACGGCTAGAATAAGCATCTAAATGAAATGCCTTTGGCTTTTTAAATTAATGAATGACAAATCAATGATCATAATTCTCTCTCGGCGGGAGATGTCGAGACAGCCTCACACATAACTACGAATACTCGTTTATATCTAAGATTCATCCAACCTATTTATTTATAGCAATAGTGTATAATAGTAGATTTCAAATTACTTAAAAAATATAACTTCAAGTTACAAGTTTATTTAGTTTTTTTATTTAAAATATAGTCTGTTCGAGAATTTGTTGTAAGACTAATAAAGATGATTTTATTTAAATAAGCAATGACTAGGGCTGCTGCATTTATCTAAAACGTTGTATAAGTTAAGCATTTTACAGCGTTAAAAGTGTTTAAATAAAACACTTTAACGGTAGCAGCTGTGGTCAAATTATTTCCAAATAAGTTTAACTAATATATACCGCGTTGTAAACCTTTAAACTGTTTTATTTAAATGTGTACTACTCGCGTAAACTACAGACAGCGTTGAAAGTAACTAATATATATCGCGTTTTAAACCGTTACAGTGTTTTATTTTAATGTACTACTTTCGGAAACCACACACAAAAGACGGCTTGTTTTAACTTACAAGGTTTTCAATTATGACAGACATTGAACTTAAATATATTTCAATCAGTTCTAAAACATATTAAGACCGAAGTCTTATCTACTATATTCAAAAGCCTAATAAAATTACAATGATGAAAATAATCATTGATAATTACGATAAATTAAAAATAAGGTGTAGTCATAATGACTGTTGCTATGAGAATTAATAGCACTTTTTTCTTATAAAGGACAGACATAACGGAAGTGGAAAGGTAAAATATTACAAATATTACATCTGTATAATAAAAACTTCAACCTATTAAATCCACAGACTGAAATTAAAACTCAGCTTTACATTAAAATCGATTTTTTCAACTTATTGATACATTGCGCCACTCGCGCAAGAAATTCGACGATGACGGTAGCTCAATTGGTTAGAGCAATAGCAAGGAGCGCTGTGGATGCCGATTCAAGTCTGCCCGTGTCGTATTTTTTTCCATTTATAATAAAGTTTCAATTTATATAGTGCCTGCACGTGAAAAATATTAAAGTTTTCAAATCCGCACGGTTTTTTTATTAGTGGGTGGTGATTCGTGGTTTGGATGGAATTTAGATATTCCTGTCATGTAGGACATATTGTACCACCACTCCACAATGCGCAATATGAGCGCAACCTTAGTCAGAGTAATTATGTACAATAAATAGCGAATTTTGAACATTTTGTCTATTCGTTCATGTCAGTGCGCACCAGTGAGAGGCATTTAAGAGATTAAAAACAAAGATATCACGATCCCAAAGTGCAGATAAGCCATTGATACGACTGGGTAATTTTTTTATGATGAAAGCTTTTTAAGAAAATCGTTTACAGTTAAATTAATGTGTTATAAATTTTTTAGATTAATTCGCAAGAGTTATATGCCTCTTTGTTATTATTTATAACGCTAATTAAATTAACGAAAAAGTTAGGTTTAGCGTAACTTGATATTTTAAGCCGGTTCTTTAAAAATTATACAGGAAATGTAGTCATTAAAATCATAATTGCTTATTTTGCACAAGAGAAAGTAGTGGGCTGCCTTTTTTTAAATTATTAAATGAAGAATTGCTTTATTGCGATTTTTCAAAACCACCAATTTTCCTACTTAATAAAATTCCGGAAATATTATTATTACCAATGTTTCAGGAGTAACCTAGACTAGCATTATTAAAAATATTTTAAGAATTATAAAGCTTTTGCAAACTTCATGAATTTTCAAATACTAGTCGTAATTAAAAAAATCTTACATCCAACATGTTTATCTTCCCACAACTGGGACACAGGTCCCGTTGCGAGCACTAGAAACATATCTGCTTTGGGTTTCAAAGCACTGGATGATTACATATGTATGTTTGTTTGCCACGAGTTTGTGTCACAGATAAAGATGTCTTCAATAACCCGAGAGAGAGACTTAAACGCTACGCTTAGCGCGTAAGTAACTACTAGGCAGACATAAGTCTACAACTGGTAGTTAAGTGTATTAATACTTAAGTAAAACACTTTAACAGTTTAAAACGCGAGTTGAAAATGATTTTTAACTTCGGCCCGACGTGTCGGATGCTTTGCAGCAGCCGTGACCACGCCGGTGTGTGAATGTGTCCCCGTGAATGTGTACTACTCGCGTAAACTATAGTTAGTATTTGTATTAATACTACTAAGCGAACAATACGAAAATAGGTGTTCCAAATATATTCTTGTCTTTCAGTCGCCAATCGTCCATCGGTTACAGTTCGTATGAATTGAGAAAGTTCGCGTTTCAACCCGTTTAAAATGGTTTTATTTGAAACTTATAAAGCCAGGTTTATGACATGGTCTGCATTGCGTCACGCCCGCATCGGGCATACCACGGTTGACAGGCAGCTATGCGCCATAATTGCTCTACACTAAATAAATACTGATATTTATTGCCTCGCAGGGTCGATAACGTTGAAACTGGTATATATGTAATTGTCGGGCGATAGCTCTGACGAACGACATATCTTAACGAATTAAATTATTGCTAAGGTGAAATACAATTAAAATAAAATACTTGGCAAACGATAACGTGTATTTTTTTTTATTTATAGCCAAAATAAGTTTCAGCTAAGTCATTTAGATTTTAGAAAAGGTGATTAGATAAAACACTTTTAACTGTTTAAAACGCAAATTAAATTTATTAAAATATGTTTAGCGTCTTAAACAGTTACCTAAAGGGTTTTATTTAAGGGGGGAAAAACCCCAAAAAAAAAAGGGGGGGGGATTAACTGGTCACGTGACGATTCAATATTAATTCAATTAACACAAAAAACCGTTAAGTAAATGTTTGAAGAATATAAACTACCTGCCTGTGGATACAAAGAAAACTTACTTATTTTAACAAACGTAGTAATAGCAACAAAACAGTCATCTTTCGATAACAAGATAACTTCTATCTAAAAACTGTAATTTACATAAAAGAAAGGCTTCGTTAAAAAAATATCGAGGGTGAAAACTAAATAAAAGTCGGCGATTAACATTAAGAATTGATATATACGCAAAACTAAAGAATTTAATTGTTATTTTAATTGGCGTTTTTCTTCACTTGCGCCACTATTAGAATTAGTTGACCACTAGAATTCAACATGGAATTAAAAGAAACGCATATCCTAAATACATTTTACCAACTTACTTGACAAGTGAAACCAGATTTATTTTACAGGTTTTTTTAAACTATTTAAGTTTATTTTTTTAACTAAACACTTTAATCTGATTTATTGTTAACCACGACGTGGTGATAACGGGTATATATTAAAATAAATTAACAAATTTTGCGTTTTTTACTGTTAATTTGTTTGCTTTTAGTTAGCTTACAATACTTTTGTTAAAAATATTTTACCATAAAAACGATTTTTGCGAGTTAATCTTGAAAGATATATTTATACTGTCTCAGAATTTTCATATGATTTCAGTCTTTCATATCTATTTGTTACTTTCTTGAAAGGTTTCGCACGCAGCGGAAGCCAACAAAGATGAGTAATTTTCTCCCCCTTTTTCAAATTTAATTGTTTTTAAATACAACACTTTAACGGCTTAAAACGCGATATACTTTAGTTCAACCATTTTGAGTTATTTTTAACTACGTCCCGACGTTTCGGATGCTCTTTGTTTACTAGAGCTTAACTGTTTTTTCGCAGCCATTGGCGCGATATGATATTGTACAGCATAAAGGCCGACAAACCATGAGGTTTGTCCAACACAAAATCTTAATATTTCTTGTAATTAGCGCGTCTAAACAGACAAACAAACTCTTCAGCTCTATAATATTAGTACAGATAAAGAGCTCAGTTTAAACTACGTACTAAAACCTAGGCCAGAGCTAGTTTGAATTCCGCAACATTGCTCAATCGACGGAGCACGTTACTCCTCGTCGTACCGCGTTATTACCTCAGCGGGTTGTAAAATAAAAATAAAATATTTCATCAAGCTCATTTATTTAGCCAAAAGTCAATAAGAACGTTACGCAAAACCTTGCTTAACATAATGTCTGAGACATTTGCGGATCCTTGAATAGAATTAAAATAGAAACGTCGTTATCAGCTCGTTAAGCGGCGAGGATCTACTCAAAAACATTTGGGCGATCGATCGAGATCTACGCATAAATCACGCTTAATTCGTGAAAAATCGTACTAGCGGGATACCGGTTCGAGACTGTCACAATAAATTTAAATATTGATAGTGCTGTAGAACTTTTGCTATATTCGCTTAACGAGCGCGGACACTAAAAAACTAATATCAGTATATCACGGCTCATCCGCGTTTTGGACAACACATTCAATGAAACTAAAACGTTCACAGAGACTCCGTGGAGCCGCGTCTCGATTTATTTTTTGTTTATTTTCTTCCTTTTCTACCGTCTATTCATATAAAGAGATATGAACTGTGTTCATGTAATTTTAAATGCAATGTCTTGTGGCGAAGATTGTTTAAAATGCATCTCTATCAGAATATTAAAGCTATTTAGCCTTTGTTATAAAAACAGATATCTTTATTAGGTAGGTACGATTAAGTCAGCTTGGAGTCTCAAAGCCAAGTTCCAGCAGTCGAGCAAGAATTTTTTATGTAGTTGATTATTCTTCGATATCAAACCGTTATTGTAATATTTAATGAAAAAAATCATGCAATACAATACTGTAATCGATTTCCACGCGAGAATTGAGCGTTTAAGCAAATGTAACGTCGAATGTCACGATGTTTGCACTTAACGTGATAACTGATAAAGAACACGGTTGCGAGGCACGCTTATTTAGTTTTTTGTTCGGGATGCAACCGTTACCGTTGCGAGTTTCGCTCCGCTCAAGCATCCAGTCATATTTCACGGCGGCGTAAAAACGCGCGATCCGAAAAAGGAGTTGCTCGCGTAAAATATCACCCGCGCACAATGAAGCGGATCGTTCCGGCTCAGTGGCGGCGGCCATCGCGGACGTCTAGCGGCCGGGACAGGCCTAGCGCCGCCCAGAGCTGCGCGCGCGACTCCACGCCACGCGGTAGCCCACGGAAACGTGTTCGGGTCATTATGAAACACGAAACTATGATATTTCGAGTCGTGGGTCCGTCCGCGCGACGAACGACCTCAGCGTTGCGCAGTCGTCGCGCGCCCAATAAATATACTTTACTGTTATCTATAAACAACCTTCAGCTAGAAGCCGGACCGGTATCGAGGCGAAACTATTCTAATAAAAAACTAAAACCAGTCCAAATTAAAGATAAGATGGTGGAAACGGAGGAATTAAACGGGCGTAGGTGCGCTCTGTTACTACGCTTGTTTTAATCAATTTTATAATAATACTGGGTAAACAGTTAGTGTTCGAAGGGCTCCTTGGTGCAATGGTAGCAATGTATGGCTAATTATCAACGGGTCATGGATTCGATCCCCACCGGGTCCGAATTGCTCAAATTTTTCTGAAACATGTTTGACTTCGTCTGGAAATCTGGATATTAAATGGGTGGTAGGTATGCACGAACCACCGACCACAGATAAAAAATCCGATAAATTAATCTCGAATAAGTTTCAGTCTGTGACAGCGCATCTTGTGTAGTTGTTATGGCTGATATATTTCACCATCAAGTACTTGCCTGCCCTCCTCTATCATTAAAAGGTTTCCTTCTAGTACTAACAGATACCTCTTATATACCAAATGTTTAAAACCGAAATAGGTCGACAGCGTATCTAGCTAACATGTTTAAAGGTTGCTTTGTTGTTGTTGGCCGATTGTTAAGTTTTAATTTTTATTAGTTGGAAATAAAAATATGCATACATAGACAATACCATTACATAAAAAATATACCTTATCTATAGAGATATATAGATAGGGATCTCTTCCAGGCATCATTAACAAGTCATACGGATTTTACTCTTAATAAAAACATTTTGAGTAGTCTTTTAGCGTGTACTTGACTTTAGGCAAGCTATTCGATTACGATGCACACGGAATCCATCACGCCACTCAGTTGACACTTGTTCAGAAATAGTGTCGATGCATCAAGCTCAAATTATAGCTGTCACCGGCCGCGGTGTAACGATAACTTTGAACATCGACTTGACTGATTAGTACTGAGTATTATGTAATTACAATGTGTTACGAAATAAGTATAGTACTAGCTGTGTTAGCGACTTCGTCCGCATAGAATAAATATTTTCGGCATTAAAATTTCATTTTGCGAACCTCCTCTTAACCTTTATATATATAAGCTGTTGCTCACGACGTCGTACGCGTCCGTTCTTGCAAGCTAATCTTAAAAGGTAGACATATATGTCTATCGGTTAAGATTATCTAAAGAGAAATCATTCTTTTATAAATATTTTTTGGGCATCTGGAACCCTCAAAGACGACTAATTTTCCCCATTTTCTCCACATTGCCCGCTGTCTCTTCTCCTCCTGCTCCTATTACTTGCAGCGCGATATTTAATAGCCTATAACCTTCTTCGATAAATGCTCTAATCAACACAAATATCATTTTTCAACTCGAACAAGTGCTTCCTGAGATGAGCACGTTCAAACAAACAGACAAACTCTTAAAGATGCTATTACAAGTTACAACTGTTACAAAATACGGCATAGTACTAAAAAAAAGTTTCATGATCTCAAATCTACCTTTATACCGCGTTTTAAACCGTAAAAGAGTTTTATTTAAATGTGTACTACTCGCGTAAACCATAGACAGGTGTATGTGATCACCACACAACAGCAAAAAGAAAACTTATAAGAACAAGATAGTCGTAATCTATAAGTGCGCGCACTAAAGTTAATATTAGTTGCGCAAGTCCTAAACACGACCACTTAGCGGGAGCCACTCAGTTCCCGCCTAGTCGCACGAAGATAACTCATGTATTAATGATAGCTTTTATGCGACCAGGATTGACCACGCCATTTTATATCTTGGTTATTGACCAGATTTGACCTCGGTCTTTAATTCTACTATAATTAGAACTTTATATTAACAACTATTAATCGAAAAAGAAGTAAACAACAAAATAAAAGCTCTCCTTGCTAGAAACTGTAGAAATTATAATTAGCGGTTAGAGCAACTGCACTGAACGCTGTAAATGCCGGTTTAAGTCCTTCCCGTATCGTAAATTTTTTTTTCAATGTAAAATGGATTTTAATTTAATTGCATAAATAGATAATAAACACATATTAAATAAAACACTTTTAACGGTTTTAAACTTGAAGTATATATGTATGTATATTACTGAAATTATAGTTAACTCGATCGGTCTTATTTTTGACACCTGCTGCTGCAATGCAAAACGTCGGCAATAAAATTTTGACTAAGTTTAAGTTTTAAACCGTTAAAAACTGTTGTTAAAATAAAACACCTTTATTTAAACTTAAATCCAATTAGTTAAATTTATATGAAAATGATTATTGACTTCGGCCCGACGTTTCGGATGCTTTACAGCAGCCGTGGTCACAGAAGGATCTTAATTATTACAAAACATTACATCTCCCGATTACAACTATTACATAACCCGATAATAGCCACGACAAACGCAAACAATAGTTCACGAGAATCTGTATGATTACTTCTAGCACGGAATGCGATTTATTCATCATTATAATTATCCACTATTATCTTATATAACTCGTGTTGATGCGATACTCAGACAAATGGTTGGAATGAATAACACATTTTGAAATGAATCTAAAAATATAGATATATATACGTAGTTATCTTAAAAAAGTGCTTTATTAATTAAAGTACTGTAAAGTCGTTTACGAGCATTTAATTTTTAATACATTTTCATCAAACAAAACACTTTTAACTGTTCGAAATGCGAAATATTAGAACTAATTTTTTTCTCCCCCTCGTCGCAGTAGTGAGAAAAAATCGTGCTTTAAACCGTTAAAAGTGTTTATTCAAATGCGACAGCACTTGTGTAAGCTATAGACAATTGTTGTGTATATTTTTATTTATGTTAATTATTGAAAGTTAAATAAAATTAAGATTTACAACGTTTAATACACATTTTACAAAATTTCGTAAATTATCTTAAATGTACTTATTACGTTTCCTAAACATTAAACTAAATACTGTCTATAGTTTACGCGAGTAGTACACATTTAGAAAAACACTTTAATGGTTTAAAACGCGATATATTAGTTAAACTTATTTTCAAATAAGTTGTGTCCCCATGACTACGGCTGCTGCAAAGCATCCGAAACGTCGGGCCGAAGTTAAAATCATTTTCAAATAAGTTTAACTAATGTAGCGCGTTTTAAACCGTTAAAGTGTTTTATTTAAATAACATTAAACTACTCAACCAATAGTGACGAATAACGTATAAGTGATCAATTCTTGATTAGCTTATATAGGTAAAGCTATGGAATGAAAAGGAGTCAATTTTTGTAATTAGTACAGTAATTCCCAAGTTTCCCGATAACATACAAACAAATCTCTTAATATCAGTGTTGTAATAACCCCGATCACAGGAGTGCATTGATCTAATCAAAAATTGACGAACGGTTCCCGTGTGGGTCTCGCGAGGTTTTACGAGCCCCATCTTCATAAACTATGAATTCACCGCGGTCGCACCTGACCGCGATAGCTTACGATTTATTATCGAACGGTCCCCCGTTTTATTGCTATCATATCGCTGAATTATTTAGAGTCCCATCGTTTTCGGTATAGCGGGACGTGATATATGGACGGACGGACGGAATGTCGTCTCATTAAGATTGGACGATTAATGTAATTAACTAAATACTGTTATAACAGTCGAAACCAATATTATAATTGAGTTGAGATATATTTCTCTAGACAAATTACATGCGAAAGGCGATTTGTTTGTGTCGGTTGCTAAAAACGCCGCCAAACGCTGTAATAAATATTTGTTTCGTCTATTAATAAACGACGTAACATATCAAAAGTAAAAATATTAATAAATTAAGCGGAAAGTTGTTTTTGGATACTTTATCTATGTATATACAACAGATGGAATAACAAATTTCTACAAAAAATAAAAACCATAGATAAATTTTGTCTGTAGTTTACGTATTTAAATATTTTTTCTGTGATAGTGGTGGATAAACAAACATGAGATTCACTCTATAGAATCACAACAGACAGAAGACACAGAAATCATTTTTGAAATTTCATAGGGATTAAAGTATATTTTATTTATTTCACTAGATGGTAGGTGGAATACTCCAGCTCAAGATGCGCTTCGACCTATTTTGGCGTTTGATATTCGGAAATCCACAGACTGAAAAGTTTACGGGTTTTTCATCTATGGGCGGTGGAACGTAACGCGGAAGGAATTTTGATATTCCACTACCCATTTAATATCCAAATTTCCAGGCAAAGATTTTAACGGTTTAAAACGAAAAATAAATTAATTAACTAACACATAATTATTCATAAAACATTTTTAACATTTTCAAGTCTAGTATCAAACCTATTAAAATATTAAATCTTGTGTATTTCAAAATGATTATGTAATGGAAAATAATCAATTAAGCTCACTATATACGCCTCAGAATATGTTTTTAACACAGATATTTCCTATTGTGACCTGGCCGGACAACTACAACATTTCATTTAAGCTCTGACAGGTGCTAAGGATAGATTAGGGCGTTTACCAACGAACTACTTAGCACCGACTCGATCAGTCATAAATAGCATATCGAATTGTAAAAAAACTGACTATTATGGTAAATCGAAATTGTGTATCTACGCTTTTTTAATTGATATGACGACAACTACACTTAGGTTTTCTCACGTACATCCTAACAGATTAACACTTTATTTTTTTCTAATCTCATTATATTTTTTTCTTTAACAAATGTATATTCCAATTTTCATTTTTCCCGCGAAAAATGAAAATGAGTATATATAGATAGATTTGGCATATACCTTTAACGTTAAATTAAAAACAAGATGGCGGTTTTATCGCGTATTACCTAAATTTGTGTGATTAAAAGAATATTATTAATCTTTTGATAAAAAAATATTGTAAAATGTGTAAATTCAGATTATTATAAGAACGGTTTTAGATAAATGCAAAAACAATCGGCTTTAATATATATTATAATAATTCAGACTCTATTGCCGCATTGGAGCCGCTCGAGTATAGACCGCCTAAGCTGTAAGGAGAGCATTAGTGCAACGAGTCTAGGACTAGTTATTCAAATGACTGCCAATTAAATCGCGTTAATTGTCGGCATGAGCGCGGGTGTCTATTCTAATGCAACTGTTCGACCGTGACGCGATATCGAAGCTTCCACTGCGCAGAATTAGCGCATTTTTTACGCCCGCTTCAAGAACAAAAAGTTGGAGAGTTCTTTTTATATTTTTTGCGGAAGCTGTCTTAAATCTAGTGCATATTTAGTTTCGCTGGCACTATATTAGTTAGATGTCTTTCCTTTACAGATTAAACGATGGTAATATATAATTAAACTTGGTGGTTTTGTTAAAAACCTTAACTGGGCTAATTCATTAACATAACAAAACTTTGCTACTTTTTGCGTTTTAAACCATTAAAAGATGTTTTATTTAAATATGTATTGCTCGCATAAACTACAGCTAGTATTTTTGACTGCCTTATCTTTTAGTTAAAAAACAAGATTTTTTATTAAACATTTAGTTACCTATTAAACATTAATTAAACTCCTTAGAGTTACCAGAAATTACTTCCCATAGAAGGGTCAAAGCAGTAACAATTACGCTGTAAATGGTAAAAGGAAAGAGCACACTGAAATAAAAAGCCATAAGTCAAAGTTGTGTTTATTCTTGATACGAATAACGGTTCGTGTGTCTCTCGGGGACAATAATTCCTTAGGTCGGGAAGCACTGCCGTCTGCCACCTTGGGAAGGGTGCAACACGAAGAAATATTGCGATAATACAGATTATAAAAATATTGCTTTACAAAACAAATAGATAAAACTCTTGTATTTTTAAATAGCACTACTTTAGCGGTTTACAACGCGATGTATATTAGTTAAACTTGTTAGGAAATTATTTTAGATTTTTCGATATTTCGATCCCGACGTCTCGATCGACATCAGGGTTTGATTCATGTAACGAGCTAAAAAGATTGGCTAGTTTTTA